AACATAGATGCTAAATTCCTAAACAAAATACTAGCTGAATCCAACAACATATCAAAAAGAAAACCCACCACAATCAAGTGGGTTTCATACCAGGGATTCAGGGATGGTTTAACATACACAAGTCAGTGTGATACACCACATAAACAGAATTAAGAACAAAAAAATCACATGATCATCTCAATAGATGCAGAAAAAGCATTTGACAAAGCCCAGCATTACTTTATGATTATAACTCGGCATACAAAGGCATACCTCAATGTAGTAAAAGCCATCTATGACAAACCGATAGCCAACACAATACTGAATGGGGAAAAGTTGAAAGCATTCCCTCTGAGAACTGGAACAAGACAAGGATGCCCACTCTCACCACTCCTCTTCATCATAGTACTGGAAGTCCTAGGCAGAGCAATCAAGACAAGAGAAAGAAATAAAGGGCTTCCAAATCGGTAAAGAGGAAGTCAAACTGTTACTGTTTGCTGATGATATGATTGTTTACCTCAAAAACCCTAAAGACTACTCCAGAAAACTACTAGAACTGATAAAAGAATTCAGCAAAGTGTCTGGATACAAGATTAATGTACACAAATCAGTAGCTCTTCTATACATGAATGGCAGCCAAGCAGAGAATCAAATAAAAACTTAACTCCTTTACAACAGCTGCCAGAAAAATAAAATACTTAGAACTATACCTAACCAAGGAGTCAAAAGACCTCTGCAAGGAAAACTACAAAACACTGCTGAAAGACATCATAGATGACACAAACAAACAGAAACATATCCCCTGCTCATGATGGGTAGAAACAATATTGTGAAAACGACCCTACTGCCAAAAGCAATCTACAACTTTAATGCAATCCCCATCAAAATACCACTATTATTCTTTACAAAATTAGAAAAACACTATTCTAAAATTCATACAGAACCAATAAAGAGCCCACATAGCCAAAGTAAGACTAAGCAAAAAGAATAAATATGGAGGCATCACACTACCTGATTTCAAACTATACTGTAGGGCCATAGTCACCAAAACAGCATGGTAGTGGTATAAAAATAGGCACATAGACTAGTGGAATAGAAGAGAGAACCCAGAAATAAACCCAAATACTTACAGCCAACTGATTTTCAACAAAACAAACAAAAACATAAAGTGGGGAAAGGACAGCCTTAAACCCTTTTCAACAAATGTTGCTGGAATAATTGGCTAGCCACATGTAAGAGGATGAAATTGGATCTTCATCTCTCACCTTATAGAAAAATCAACTTAAGATGGATTAAGGACTTAAATCTAAGACCAGAAACTATAAAAATACTAGAAGATAACACAGGAAAACCCTTCTAGACATTGGCTTAGGCAGGGATTTCATGACCCATAACCCAAAAGCAAATGCAATACAAACAAAGATAAATAGCTGGGGCTTAATTAAACTAAAGGGCTTTTGCATGGGGAAAGGAGCAGTCAGCAGAGTAGACAGACAACCCACAGAGTGGGAGAAGATCTTCACAATCTAAACATCTGACAAAAGACTAATATCCAGAATCTACAGCAAAGTCAAATATCAGTACGAAAAAAATCCAACAATCCCATCAAAAAGTGGGCTAAGGACACAACAATTCTCAAAATAAGACATAAAAATGGCCAACAAACGTGAAAAAAATGCTCAACATCACCAATGATCAGGGAAATGCAAGTCAAAACCACAATGTGATACCCCCTTACTCCTGCAATAATCAACAAATATAAAAAACAGGAGATGTTGGCACGGATGCAGTGATCAGGGAGCACTTCTACACTGCTGGTGGGAACGTGAACTAGTACAACCACCATGGAAAACAGTGTGAAGATTCCTTAAAGAACCAAAAGTAGAGCTACCATTTGATCCAGCAATCCCACTACTGGGTGTCTACTCGGAGGAAAAAAAGTCATTATTCAAAAAAGATACTTGCACATGTATGTTTATAGCAGCATGATTCACAGTGCAAACTCGGGGAACCAACCCAAATGCCCATCAGTCACCAAGTGGACAAACAAACTGTGGTATATAGATACGATGGAATACTACTCAGCCATAAAAAGGAATGAATTAATGGCATTTGCAGCGACCTGGATGAGATTGGAGACTATTATTCTAAGTGAAGTAACTCGGGAATGGAAAACCCAACATCATATGTTCTCACCAATATGTGGGAGCTAAACTATGAGGATGTAAAGGCATAAGAATGACACGATGGACTCTGGGGACTTGAGGGAAAGTATGGGAGGCGGTGAGGAATAAAAAGCTACAAATAGGGTGCAGTGTACACTGCTCAGGTGATGGGTGCATCAAAGTCTCACAAATCACCGCTAAAGAACTTACTCAAGTAACTAAATACCACCCATACCCCAATAACTTATAGAAAACTTAAAAAAAATGAAAATGGTGAAACCCCGTCTCTACTAAAAATACAAAAAATTAGCTGGGCATGGTGGCTCGTGCCTGTAATCCCAGCTACTCAGGAAGCTGAGGCAGGAGAATTGCCTGAACCCAGGAGGCAGAGGTTGCGGTGAGCCGAGATCGCGCCATTGCAGCCTGGGTAACAAGAGCGAAACTCCGTCTCAAAAAAAAAATGAAAATGAAACCACAACAAGACACTACAGCACACTGATTAAAATGACAGAAATTACAGAGATTGCAAATGTTGGTGATTAAGAGGAATTGTAACTCATAGACACTGCTAGTAAAAATACAAAATGGTATAGACACTCTGGAAAATGTTTAGCGGCTTGTTTTAAAGTGAAAGAATCACTTACTATATGACCCAACTTTACTCAAGAGAAGTGGAAACCTAGATCCACACAAAGACTTTGATGCAAATGTTCATAGTGGCTTTTTTTAATAATAGCCCCAAACTGGAAGGAACCCAAATGCCCATCAGCTGATGAATGGATAAACAAATTGTGGTATATCAACACAATGGAAAATTAGTCAACAACAAAAAAGGAATGAACTATGTCCTATCATGCTAAATGAGAGGAGCGACACACAAAAGTCTACAAACAGTATCACATGATTGTGAAATTCTAGAAAAGGTGAAACTATGGTGACAGAGATTCGTGTGTGTATACTTTTTTTTTAAGCCAAAGGGAAGCGAAATGTACTGTGATTCTTATCCCATTTTCTTATTATAGTAGAGGACCTGTAGCAGTCTTAAAGATTTATAACATGTGAACAATCAAAACGAACAATTTGCTTAGAATCACAATACATTTGTATTTTTGTGGATGACAAATTTGTATTTTTGCTATTTTGGATCAGTTAAATGTGACTATATCATACTAAGACATTTTTTTTCTGATGACCCCAAATGGTCTCTGGAAAATCTTCCAGAAAAATCGTTCTGAGAATGATGTCCTTAGCAGTTGCACTATTGGAGTACATTTATAGCCTCCTTGAGTTCAGTATTTGAAGGATATAAGTGTTTTGAGATTTCCTTTTTTAAAAAGATGGTTTAGTTTTATTTATGTCTTTTCAATCACTCTTTTTTCTAGACCATCACTTTGAACATTCATTGGTAACAGCCAATAATACCTGATTTTCAGATAAAGAATCCAGGGAACCAGTCTAATGGCTGCAAAGCCTTCCTGAGCATTTGCCAGGACCAACAGCCCAGCAGCCCCACAGGCAGGAGTCCCAAAAAGAGTAAGAAGTCATTTTCTCATAATCAAACCTGTCTGAAATGGACATGGGCTATCTTGAGGAAAAAGTGAATTTCCCTGGTTTAGGTGGCAACTGCAGACCCTGTTGGCAGGCACGTATGAGAGAAGTTTTAAGCATCAGATGGGATGTTGGACTAACACATGCACTCTGTGGGCATGTAGCAGGACCCAGGCTTCCTAAACGGGCTACAGCTGGAGCGATTCTCAGCCTATGATGGAAAACTTCATCTAGCTTTAGATCTTATGGATATTAAGAAGATAGACTTTCTGTGACACAGCCTTGGAATCCGGATTTCAACGAGGGCAGCTCTTTAGCCTGTTGAAAATATAAGTGCCTCTGTACAGTTCTGAAAGATACCATTACAATGGTATGTTAAAAATGAAACATAATTACTATCAATTAGTAATTCAAGTGAGAAATTGAGGAGTAAAAGAAGTTTTATATTTAGATTCTTGTTCTTTAAAGAACATTGGCCAGGTGTAGTGGCTCACACCTATATTCTTAGCACTTTGGAAGGCTGAGGCGAGTGGATTACCTGAGGTCAGGAGGTCGAGACCAGCCTGGCCAACATGGTGAAACCCTGTCTCTTCTAAACATACAAAAATTAGTCAGGCGTAATAGCGGGTGCCCATAATCCCAGCAACTCAGGAGGCTGAGGCAGGAGAATCGCTTGAGCCCAGGAGGCGGAGGTTGCAGGGAGCCAAGATCGCACCACAGCACTCCAGCCTGGGCAGCAAGAGCAAGACACTGTCAAAAGGAAAGAAGGAAGGGAGGGAGGGAGAGAGGGAAAGCGTCTTTGATCTTCTGGTAGTAATTGAATGGCGTTTGTTTCTTGCCTTCTAAATGAAAGACCAGGAAAGGCAAATTGCAGATAAGAGCTTTTCTGGAGCTTACCTCTATCTCAAGTAATTATCAGGGCTTGTTGTGCAGACCACTGTTTTTACATCATTGATTATGTGAGTAAGATGGGAAGAAAGGAGAGTCAAGTCACACCCTTGGAAGATGAAACTTATAATTTGTATGATAGTACAGAAGTTTTCAGGGTACCCTCATTCAGGAGTAAGTGAAAGTTTATCACACTTAATGACACCAGTCTATAAGTTTTCAAGGGTAGAGCCAAAACACTGAAAAATAGTTGTGTGTGTTTGTGTGATTACGAAACCTTCTGAATGTGTGTTTGGTTACACTACCTCTTTGCTCTTTGAGATCACCGTGAATGCTGCCTGCTGCATCAGAATGAAATGTGCCATTTAGAGGAATTGTTTTAACTGTGGGTCTCACAGGCACCGTCCTTGCCCTCCTCAGACACAGGTGTGTTTGCAGTGGTGAACAGCCATTCCTTGTCGTTGCTGGGGAAGCTGACCATCAGTGCTGCATTTAACATCGTTTACATCTACACCTCTGAGCTCTACCCTACGGTCATCAGGTATGTGTCTCAGAGCCGTGCGTTCTTCACACATTCTACACTTTGTCATCCATTCTTGCACCAACAGGGGTGGTACTCGTTTCATCTGCTTCTGGAGTTAGTGTGGGGCAGCGGTAATTCAGCAGCAGTTTAGGCTGAGAACCTGCCTTTGCAGACTGCTGCTCTCTGCCTGCCTAGCTAGGAACATGTCACTTCATGGTGGACCGAATTCCCTAGTGTAAGTTGTAAGAGAAGTACTCTACGCTGGGCATATTCTGTCACCCAAACAGTGCATAGATGCTGTTATTATTTTGGTGGGTTTATTTATTTACTTACTTATTTATTTAATTTTTGAGATGGAGTCTTGCCCTGTTGCCCACCCTGGAGTGCAATGGCTTGATCTCGGCTCACTGCAACCTCCGATTCCCAGGTTCAAACGATTCTCCTGCCTCAGCTTCCTGAGTAGCTATGATTACAGGAGCTTGCCACCACACCCAGCTAATTTTTATATTTTTAGTAGAGACAGGGTTTCACCATGTTGGCCAGGCTGTTCTGGAACTCCTGACCTCGTGATCCCCCTGCCTCAGCCTCCCAAAGTGTTGAAATTACAGGCATGAGCCACTGTGCCCAGCCAGTGGTGGCCTTTATTTATTCCGTCACCCATCCTGCATCAGACATAATAGACAAGGGGGCAAGCTCCCTATTTTCTCAGAGCCTACATTTTAACACAAAATACACCCATTTTTGAAAGATAATTTCATGTAGTAATAAGAGAATATCAGAGTTAAACAGTAGTTTTTAAAGCTGGGTTCTTAATAAGATTTGCTTATATTGAAAAGAACAAATATCCAGCCTAAATTTCCCTTCATAAAATAAGTCTAAAAGCAAAAAACACACCGAAATTTCAAGGATGGGGGTGCAGCTGAGGCTTTGCAGAACTGCTTCTGTGGCCTGGGCAGGTATTCTCTCAGCCAGCCCTTTCCCAATCTCTTAGAGGACCATTCCAAACTATCCTTCCACTTCCCTCATCCATGCAAGAAGCCTCGTGGTTCTTTCTGCCTATTAATTTAAAATTATTATTTCCTAGTAAGAGATCAGAGTGTCTGCATTTTCCCAGTTGGTCCTATAACCTACTTTACCTGGCTACTGGCTATAAAACTAGGATGATGATTTTGTCCAAACTGTGACAATTTGGAGAGCAAATGTGGGTGTTATGAACATTTCAGCTGGGATTACAGAGTGTTGTATCCCTCTACCCAAAACCGTGAATTACCATTCTCTCTCCCTCCCTCCCTCCCTCTCTGCTTCCCACCTTTTTTATGCCTGCACTCCCCATAAAGGTGTTCTTGATTTCCCGACAGTCCACACTTGGTCAATTTCTATGTATATGCTTAACACTTTGTTAATTAGTTGAGTTTAAATAAATGAGCAGCCTTTTCAGATCACAAAACCCTGCCTCTCTGTAAGAGATCGAAGGCATAAAAATTCATGAGAACTTTTAATCTAAAAATATTGAAATGCTCATTTCTGTATCATCCTCTGTGCACGCACTGTTCAGTATGGTAGTTACTAGCCTCGTGTAGCTATTTAAATGTAAATTAAATTCATTAAATAGCATTCAGTTCTTCATCCTTACTGGCCACATTTCAAGCACTCAGTAGGGTATGTGTCTAGTGGCTTCCACATTGGACTGGGTGATTATAGAACATTCTTAGCATCTCAGGAAGGTCTAGTAGGCAGCTCTAGAACTCACTGCTCTCTAGGATCCTGTGCTTCCACTTCAGGACATGCTATTCAAGGTCCACCGCTGCCCCACAAGTGTCTTAATTCCCCCACTAGAACTTACTGACGTGTTTTTACTTATGCTTTTCAGGAATGTTGGGCTTGGAACTTGTTCCATGTTCTCCCGAGTTGGTGGGATTATTGCTCCCTTCATCCCCTCACTGGTTGGTTTGTACCTTCTAGCTTTGTTTTTCTTGATTCTCTGCTTTGCAAATGCTTATGCTTTTAAGTAGAAAGAGGTGATGAACAGATGTCATTTAAGATCAGCTGACACAAATGTCCCTTTTAGATAGCACTCCATCAGGGCAGATGAACTCTTATCGAGGATTCATTTGCCTCCAATGGGTCTGAGTTTTTGTTCATCTGGATTCATTGGAGGGTCTGCTAATGCCACTGTGCCCCATTCCTGTCCCCACAAAAAAGTCAGTCAACTGATAAATATGTATGACACTTCGGCTGTGTACTGGGTTCCATGCTGAGCACTTGATAGATTCATCACATGCAGTTCTCATTGTGACCATAAAAGGTAGGCATTGTTGTTACCATTGTATTAAATATGAGAAGTGCTACAGAAAGAGGTTCTTCCCCAAGAACACACCTCTTGGAAAACAACATTAGAGCAGAAACATGCCTCGCACTCTATCTGTTAATATTTTTTTGAAATTTTCCAAGTTTGATAGTCAAAGAAAAGGAAACAGATTAAATGACAGCCCTAAAATCCTTCATCTTAAAATGCTCAGAATCTGAGAAAGAACCCAGGGGACCCCTATGCAAGTCTCTCCTTAGTTTGATTTGTGACTTTCCCCAGCCAAGACCTTTTGAAAGGCAACTAGATTTGGAGTGGGGCTTGTGGACCTGTTCTGTGGACAACTGTTCATTTCTTAGGCAGGTCTCTGAAATGCCATTGTAACCTTTTCATTTTCTGAGGTGCAGTACATTTCCCTTCTCTGAGTATCTCTTTCCATTGTCTCACGATTAATTTTAGGCCACAAGACCCTTCTCATGAAGGGGTCCTGTTAGGTCTGTGTTTTATTCTGCAAAATATAGGTGCTGTTAAAGATGTCTGACCTCGGATGCTATCACGGAACATTGTAATACCCAGCACTGTGTCTCCGTTGCTTCCTGTAAGTTTAGAAGGGAAAGTGTGTGTTCCCCTCATTTCAGCAACAGGCCCACAGTGCTGGACATATGTTTGCATGTAGATGGCTAGAGATAAGAGATTCTCCTCCTCCCTCTTCCTCCTCATCCCCCTCTTCCACTCTGTTCTGTCTCTCCCTTCTCCTCCCCCTTCTCCCTTTTCCACCTCCTTCTCCATTATCTCTTCACTTTGAAAAATCAGGAAAAATTTGTCTGAGGGGAAATTATAATTAGTAGTGGACCTATCCATGCAATTTGTAAGCCTAAATCAGAAGATCATAAAGCTTAGCAGGAATTCTAGAATGTTGATCATCTCAGAAAAGCCCCAGAGAAGCACCCTGGAAGCCACTGTTTTTCATGTTTTCTTTGAACCTGTTTTTAATTAAATGTTTCCGTTTTCCTGAATATATGTTTTGGGTCTTTGAAACAATTGTTTGTATCACCAGCCCTTTACCATGTTCAATTTAAGAAGTTTATAAGCCATATGCCTATGGTAGGGTTGATTTTTTTAAAAGAATGTTTACGCCTTTAATCCCTAGATGTCTCGGTTATGGTGTTAAGGTATATGGGATGGTTTGGCCAATTCCAGGATTGAGAACTTTAAAGTTCATCATCAGCAAGTATTTTTGGGGCGCCTCTGTGCGAAGTGTGTGTGTGTGGAGAACACTGTTATAAGTTGCTTGTTCACGTGGAATGGAAGCCAAACTATGAGATGATGTCCTGTCAACTCTGGCCATATACGCCTGCCTGCTCAGAGGCAGCCTGACCTCTTCTCCCATAGTACCCACCCCAGGCATGAAATTGCTGCTTCTGATCCACAAACCAGTGCTGTCCTTTTATTTACTACCAGCTCTGCATGCCCAAGGAATGATTCTCTGATTTCCCAGGGTAATTCTTTACGTGGAAAGAAGTGGAGGCTTCACTTATAGTGAAGTCTAGTGGGAGGCCACGAAATGGGTGCTACACGTGACAGTTTCTCAGTCGTGAGACTTGCCTGCCTTTCATCCTGAGGAAACTAACACTCTGGGTTTGCTTGTTTTCGTTCCACTCCCTGCCTCCGCAGAAGTACGTGCAGTGGTCTTTACCATTCATTGTCTTCGGAGCCACCGGCCTCACCTCCGGCCTCCTGAGTTTGTTATTGCCGGAAACCCTTAACAGTCCCCTGCTAGAGACGTTCTCTGACCTTCAGGTGTATTCATATCGCAGGCTGGGAGAAGAAGCGTTATCTTTACAGGCCTTGGACCCTCCACAGGTGTGATATTTTTCTTAATCATTATACCACTTGGATGTTGGCAGTTATTGAAAAAAAGGAAGTTTGGGTTAAATTAAATAGAACTCAGTAAAACTGCTGGAAAACAAAGGTAGGATCTAACAGTGGCTGATTTTCAGAGAAATAGAGATGATCGATGATTCATTAGCTTTCCTAGAACACTTTAGGAGCTGATTTCTTGGGGGAATAGATGTCATAAAAATACATTTGTCAGTTCAATAGCTGCATGGTAGTTTCCATTTCAGAAATGTCATGACATCATTTCACTGCCCTTTTCTTCTTTCCTGTCTCAGTGTGTGGACAAGGAGAGCTCTTTAGGGAGCGAAAGTGAGGAAGAGGAAGAATTTTACGATGCCGACGAAGAGACTCAGATGATCAAGTGAAGAGCCCTAGACTCCCGCTAAGAAGCAAAGGATCGTCTTTTATGCCTCTGGCTAAGGCAGGTTCTCATGACTCTTAAGAGAGTTGTAGAAAGAGAGGCTTGGCTTGAACGTACATAGATGGTACCCGGCATGGACTGATGTTTTTAGGCCCAGAAGTTGGAGAAGAGATCTCATGAGAGACAACATCACTGCATTGAGAATAGTTGTTAATTTGTTTAAAGTTTAAGTTCTGCTCAGAATCATAACACCTGGCAGAACAGCCCAAACCCACATTCCAGAGTGGTAGGCTCATTTGTTTCTAGTGGTTTCATCATGTCGCTTTTCCTTCATCGTGATCTAAATAAAGGCGGGTATGTAAAATTTCTCACTATTTTGGAGGAGTAAGATAAGCTATCCTTAAGATTTAATCTTTATACTCTTGATGTTGGACATTTGCCCCTATCAGTGGCTCCTCAGGAATATTCTGGTACAGGTTAACATCAGCATTTTAATTTTGTGTCCAGGGAAAAGCACCCAGAAGTCATCTGTGTGTCCCGAGACCCTCCAGCTTTTTCTCAGCTGATGAAATGTGAGTCCTCAGCTTGGTACCCAGCCTGCTGGTTGACCGGGGTTCCTCCTGCCTTGAGTCCCACAGATGATTCATTAGGAAAATCCAGATGTACCAAAGCAGTTTACTGAGAGTCGGTGGTGTGGCTGTGGCTGCCTATCAGCTCCCTTGGATACTATATCGTGTGATTACATCCAGCAAAATTTCCATCTGAGATTCTAGTACTTCGAAATCCTGCCTAATAAATGAGAAAGCTTTAAGGAGAGGGCAGTTAAACAGTGACATGTTGAGTACCTGGAGGGAAAAAAAAGGTAGTTTTTAATAAGGGAGAAAATAAAATTATCTTTGATAAATTTTTGTTTGTTTTGCTTTCAGTATTGTGCCGGGAGGGATTTGAACAATATTTAAGAATCTCTTGTCCTAAATCTAATTAGACAGCCCCCACCTGTTTCATTAGAATGGAAGGTTCAGCAATTTCATAGGAAATGTTGGTTTTTCATTAAGTGCTACCAGCTTTCACGTGAATCAGAATTATAATTGATTTCCTAAAATCATGTCCTGAAAATACGTTTTCCCATGAAACTCAAATACTATGTTAAATAGGAATATAAACCTGGAGTCAACAAGCTTAGGCAGCATTGATTTAGGTCACTTTCCCAACGAGGAAAATTTCTGTGTTTTCAGAATTTCCATTTCTTTTTTTTTCTTTTTGAGAGGGAGTTTCGCTGTTGTTACCCAGGCTGGAGTGCAATGGCGCGATCTCGGCTCACCGCAACCTCCGCCTCCTGGGTTCAGGCAATTCTCCTGCCTCAGCCTCCTGAGTAGCTGGGATTACAGGCACGCACCACCACGCCCAGCTAATTTTTGTATTTTTGGTAGAGACGGGGTTTCACCATGTTGACCAGGATGGTCTCGATCTGTTGACCTCGTGATCCACCCGCCTCGGCCTCCCAAAGTGCTGGGATTACAGGCTTGAGCCACCGCGCCCAGCCCAGAATTTCCATTTCTACTAACCTCTTGGAGAAAAGGAAATTGTATTAGAGGTAAATGGAAGATGTCACTGTGACTGCCTCTGGAAGTGCTGGAAGCATCGCCCCGATTGGCTCCAAATACGTTTCACTGCACATTGACTTCTGGTTTGCACTGTATCATTATGTACCTTTGTCATTGTTATTTTTATGTCTTTTGTGCCCTTGATTATTAATTAGGCTCTTTATAAACATAGGCCATCTCTACTGCTGTTTATTTTTCCCTGCTGTGCCCAGAACTTTGACCTAGGCACAGTAAGGACCTAGTAAATATCACTGTTTCTAGCCATCAGGGAGATTGTGGAACTCCTCCCAGTATGCTTTTTGCAAACTCCAGGCAAGTATGACCCGAACTCCCAAATTGTTGTATCCTGCTTGAGTTTCTCTAGAAAATAGATACCTTCTCACCGTCAGAATAGGAAGAGAGGAAGAACCTACAAAGACACTTAAAAGTTCTTCCTAAACGGTGGTTGGGAATTTAAATCATAATTTTTGATTCATTGGAGCTTTCTTTGTATTATAAGAGTAGTATATCCCATTACAGAAAATTTGGAAACTAGACATTTAGAAATGTATCACTCATATGTCCAACATCGAGAGAAAACCAGTGTTATGGCTATATTCCATTTGAAGACCTATTGGGAGTCCATCTCTTTAGTGGCACTGGGTTCCACTGCCTCTGGCTAAACAGAGTTCAATGAGTTCTATCCGAGTTTCTTAGCTGTGGAGTAGAAAATAGGAGGGAGACATCTACAATTTGAATAGGTGTTATTTAATAAGGTGAGGCTGGCCATCAGTTGCTTATGTCAGATGTGTCACTAAATTTTCTTTCTGGATAGTCCTTGAGCAAAATTTAATAAGTAACTGTTTTTTATTTCTGCTGCCTTTATAAAATCAAAATTTTCTCTTTTTGATAACTGTTGAAGACTATTGATGTAGAGAATGTGTATGTGTGTTTATTTGTATTGATTAAATTATTGGAAAACTTTTCATTGATAGTGATGTATTTTGGTTGTGCAGATGGTTTGTAAAAAGTATTCTGTTTTTTTTTAAAATTCTATTCAGAATTAATTTTTTTTCTCCTAAAGTGAAGCCAGAAAAATAAATGTAAGATATATAAGAAACCCCAGAGTTTTGAGGGTGAAAGTTCTCCTTAGCAGCTTGTCCAAAATATTTACACCACACAAATATTTAGAAAGAAACCATGTTGAAATTTTCTGATTTTGTGAGTTACAACCACAGCCCATTAAAGTCAATACTTGTTATTTGGCTGCTTTCAAGCTATGCAGATATTCTTTAGTATTTAAAAATGAGCAAATAAACAAAATGAGGCAAATAAATGAAGAAAATGAGTTTCCGAGACACTGCTTAAGTGGCCATAAATTGGACAGAATTTTTATGGTGGGCAAACTGATGAAGATAAAGATACTTTTAGCAGGTGATTTATATTTGTAAATGTAAATATAAATTTATAGTACATATTGAAATAATGGTCACTACTATATCAGAATTAAAAAGCAGTCTCGCGTTAGGACTTCTCCATACAGATTCTTTATTATTGGTTCTTAAATTGGAAAAGTATCTATAAATTATTATATTTTTTAACTTAATAAAATGCAGAAATTTCAGCTTCTTGTGGATTTAATAAAGAATCATACAACATAGGCCTTTTCTCTTTTCTCCCAAAATGTCTCAAAATCTGCTGTGGTAGCTTTGACAAGTTGGGCAAATGCACAATCTGCTCGTAATGATAAGTAACATGTGGGACAGGAGTTGTAGCAAAGTTGTGGACTCATGGACACAAAAGGTAACTATCAAAATACTTTTAGAATGAGGAAAATGCAAAGACAATGCATTGTGAAAGATCCATCAATATAGTACATAAACGGAGAAAGAGCTTATGATTACCTCAATAGAAAAATAAGCATTATTTGACAAAATTCAGCCCCCATTCAAAACAAAGCTGTTAGTAGAGTAGGAGTAAAATGACGCTTCCTCAGTAAAAGAAGACACACTACAGTACAGGTGGTAAACTGGCGCACAGGATCTCTTCGCCTTCCTGGTACCTTAGTCTTCAAACTGTTTTTCAAATCATAACCCAGATTAAGAAATGTGTTTTATATATTCATCCTCTCATGCTTCCCCGCTTACAAATATATATGTACATTTAAAATATCTATGAATCATAAAATGTATATATTTTATGCAATAATACTTAACCTTGCTAGGCATACTGATAAATTCTGATCTATTTTACTTTTTAAAATGCCATTTATGACCCAATACATGGATAGCATAACCCGCTAATAGGTCACAACCCATAGTTTGAAATCCACTGGTCTACACTTACCTTCTTATACTGCAGAGGCTTTAAAGCTAAAATGTGGCTGGGCGTGGTGGTTCGCGCCTGTAATCCCAGCACTTTGGGAGGCTGAGGCGGGTGGGTCACTTGAGGTCAGGAGTTTGAAACCAGCCTGTCCAACATGGCAAAACCCTGTCTCTACTAAAAATACAAAATTAGCCGGGCATGGTGGTGCATTCCTGTAATTCCAGCTACTTGGGAGGCTGAGGCAGGAGACGTGCTTGAACCTGGGAGGTGGAGGTTGTAGTGAGCTAAGATTGTGCCACTGCACTCCAGCCTGGGCAACAAGAGCAAAACCCCATCTCAAAAAAAAAAGCTAAAATGTATGTTTTCTGAATTGCTTGCGGGTAGGTTTTCCCCTTGCAGCCCGGGGCAGTTTGGTTTCCTTCAATCAGGTACAAATGGAACTTTCAAGGTAGAAGCAAGGTGGAGGCCATACTTTGGAAGAGTCTGCTTTTTTCTGCTCAGATTCACAGTGGTGGGGCGATTTGGTTTCTCTGAGGCAGTATCAGCCAGAGATGTTGTCAGTCAGTCAATATCGATTAAAATCTTAAGATTTTTTAATAAACCTGGAATAATACTTCCAGTATTCACATGGAAAAGCAAAGATCCAAAAATACTCAAGACAATTCTGATAAAGAAGAGCAAACAGAAGGGACTTGACTTTCTAGATATAAAAACTTAGGAAGCTGTATTATTGGTCCACAGAAGAAAATAATAGAACATAATAGAGATTTGTTAAAGGTAGCATGACACATCAGAGGAAAGAGTGAACAATTCAATTATTGATATGTCTTCTCACCATAATAAAAATAAATTACGAATTGATTGAAGGCTTCAATGAAAAACAGCAAAACTTTATTTGAATATTATCGAATATTCTTAAGACCTTGGAGGATGGATAGATTTATCAGATAAGAACTGAAAATGATAAATTATTTTTTAATCAATATATCTGACAATCTAAATTTAAAACTTGTTTCTGTATGACTGAACATGCTACAAACTTAAAAGGAAAGCAGGCTGGGTGCAATGGCTCATGCCTGTAATCCAACACTTTGGGAGGCCCAAACCGGCAAATCATCTGAGGTCAGGAGTTCAAGACCAGCCTGGCCAATATGGTGAAACCCCGTCTCTACTAGAAATACAAAAAAAAGTTAGCCAGACACGGTGTCACATACTGTAATTCTAGCTCCTCAGGAGGCTGAGGCCAGAGAATGGCTTCAACCCAGGAGACAGAGGTTGCAGTGAGCCAAGATCATGCCACTGCACTATAGCCTGGGCAACAAAGCAAGACTCCATCTCAAAAAAAAAGGAAAGCAATAGATGAAGGAAAAATATTTGCAACATTTATAAGCAATAAGGATTAATGTCCAGACTATATAAAGAATTACTGCAAATCAGAGATAAAAGTAAAAAAGTTTACAAAACGTCTGATTAGACAATTCACAATTCACAGATGAAAAGGTGCTCAGCCTCACTGCAGGATCAGGGAAATGCAGGCTTAAACCACATGAAGATACCTTTTAAAATCCATTAGATTGAGAAAGTAAGTCAATATCAAATGTTAAAGCTATAAAGATGTAGAAATTCTGCTCCTTTGTACATATCATGGAAGAATGTTTCCAGAAATTTTTACTATAACCCACTGTAAAAAAAAAGTTTTACATTGTGACACACAGTACACACACCTACATACATACCCATGTATATGTTTGTGTATATGTATATATGCACACATAGATATGTAACTGAAATGGTGTTAGAAAACAATACCTACCCTTAATATCTGCACTGCATTGTATTTTATTATATTTCATTTCATTAAAAAAAGAATACTAGTGAAGACACTAAAATGATTTCACAGTTTTGAATGGATCAAAACATGCAGTTAGAAAAAGTGAAACATACTATCCTTAGCATTTGCCTTCGTACTTGTCTGATGCACATGTGTACAAGAGATTTGTACAGAATGCTCATTGCATCATTACTTGTAATAAAACAATGGAGGTAAATACCTTCAGTAGGGACATGTATCTATACATAATTTCCTATGCATAGGATGGAATAAAAGCAGTTCTATGGTTGAGATGGTTGGATCTCAATAATGTTGAACAAAATGTCGGCAAATTTTCACTGGATCAAAGACCTTTTATGTATAAATTTCCAGTGAGTGATTGGAGTACTTGCTAATTAAAGTGATTCAAATGCTTCTCACATCACACTTTAAAGTCAAGACTGTTGATATTCTGCTGCTAAAGTACACAACTCACTTTTATTCCCACCCAGATAAAGAATTATCCCTCTTCCCTATGGAGAAAGTCTATAAATGTGTCCACCTGCAAATCTCCATTTCTCTTGAAAAAAAGCTGTGCATCTGTGGAAACATTTAGACAGGTTTTCAGCCAAGACTCTAGAGCTGTCTTATAAAGCTTAGAAAAGATTATGTATTTACTGAAAAATGTGAAGGCCGGATGTAGCTAAATTAGTATTGAAGGAACTTCAGTCTACACCCGCAGAACAACTGATTTTGAATAGAATCGACTGATGGAGTTGCTTTGCTTCAAATATATAACTTTAAGAAATCGAGTGAAATGATTGTGTATGAATGTAAAAGCACACAGTCAGCTTAGAGGAGTGTAATTAATGAGCGATTTACCTGTACGTATGCAGAGCTTCTAGAAACCATGGAAGATAAAGCATTATGCAAAAGGAAGCCATTAATAGAGTGTAAAGGTCAGCCTTGTGGAGCGTGGCACCACAGGAGGAGCGGATCCAGAGAGGCAGAGGCAAACAAGATATTCACTCACCACTGGGGGACCCTTAAAAATCTGTGAATATCTGTCACAGATGATTACGGCTATAGATATAGATGTGTTCAAGCTGAGCAGTTCTTGGTGGTGATAATACAACGGATTAATTTGCTTCCCAGAATCACTTTTATTCTTTTTTTTTTTTTTTTTTTTTGAGACGGAGTTTCGCTCTTGTCACCCAGGCTGGAGTGCAATGGCGTGATCTCAGCTCACCACAACCTCTGCCTCCTGGGTTCAGGCAATTCTCCTGCCTCAGCCTCCTGAGTAGCTGGGATTACAGGCACGCGCCACCATGCCCAGCTAATTTTTTGTATTTTTAGTAGAGACGGGGTTTCACCATGTTGACCAGGATGGTCTCGATCTGTTGACCTCGTGATCCACCTGCCTCGGCCTCCCAAAGTGCTGGGATTACAGGCGCACTTTTATTCTTATAGATGCTTTTCACCCATATCCATGTAAAGGAAGAAGGACTACAGCATGCCTTACACTGCCGGTGACCAGGGTGTGATTGGCCAAACAACTCCCTTTGCCCTCAGATGCTTTCGGTGAGTACTGAGTGACGTCAGGACTACATCAGACACGACATCTCATCACGCTGGTGATTCTTTTTGAGGAAAACAAAGATCAGCGATGATCAGCAAATGTCTTAAGGCCTCACACCCTCACCCTTTCCCATTTCCTTGATAATATAAAATGGCAAAACGGCGACCTGGAATGAATTGTAATATCTATAATAGGCTTGTCTCTGATGCAGCGTTGTTAGATTGGAAAACTTAATTCCATCAGGGATCAGGGAAGAAAATTGGCAAAGAGCAGC